TCTGAAATAAAACCCTCAGGTTGTTTCATGTACACCTTTTCTTCCAGATCTCTATTGAGAAAAGCTGTTCTCACATCCATTTGGTGAAGCTCTAAGTCAAAATGAGCCGCCATTGCCATAATTATCCTCATAGAGTTTTTCTTAGAAACATGTGAGAAAGTCTCATTGTAATCAATGCCTTCTTTTTGAGTGAACCCATTGGCAACAAGTCTAGCCTTATGTCGTTCTACCTTTCTTTTACAGTCTCTTTTGGTCTTATAGACCTATTTACAGCTGACTATTGTGGCACCAAGAGGTAGTTCAACTAAATTCCAAACATTTTTTTTATCCATTGAGTTCAACTCTTCTTTCATGGCATCATACTAGTTGGAGGAATTCAAACTATTCATGGCTTGTGAGAAAGTAGTTGGATCATCACACTTTCCAATATCAAAAATCGGACTCTTGAAGGTACACAATACAATCTGATGGAATTGCAGATTTCTTAACTCTTGATGATCTCCTTAAAGTTTCTTCTAGTCTTGCTACATGTGAAGGTGAAACAAGCTTCTCAGTGACAGTGGGTTCAGTTACAGATGATACATTAATAGTTGACTCATCCTCAATCAAATTATTATGAATAATGGGATGAGGAATCATTACCAACTCATCTGAACTTTGCATAGAAATTGGATGTTCCTCAAAAATAACATTTTATTTTTGAGGTTGTATACTCCCACTGACTTGGTCATTTTCAATAGATTTTGCATTCCGTGTCTCTACAATCCGTAGAGAATGATTAGGACAATAAAATATGTATCCCTTGGACTTCTCTGGATATCCAATAAAATAGCCACTTATGATTTTATGGTCCAACTTTTTCTCTTGGGGGTTATACACCCAAGCTTCAACTTGACAACCCCAGATGTGTAGACGTGCTAAATTGAGTTTTCTACTTGTCCATAACTTAAAATGTATTTTAGGGACAACCTTAGTAGGAACACTATTTAGAATGTACAAAACAGTTTTCAAGGCATCAACCCAAAAAGAGGCTGGGAGAGTGGAGTAACTAATCATACTCCTAACTATATCCATTAGTGTTCGATTTCGCCTTTTTGCTACTCCATTTTTGATCAGGAGTACCTGAAATAGTATATTGTGCCACTATACATTGTTCCTGAAGGAATCGAGAAAATGGACATAAGTGTTGTCCGGATTCAGTGTACCTACCATAATACTCACCACCCCTATTCGATCTCCCGGTTTTGATCTTTTTGTCAAGCTGTAGCTCTACTTCTGTTTTAAAAAACTTGAAAGCATCTAAGGTTTGATCCTTATAAAACAAGAGGTACAAACAATTGTATCATGAGAAATCATCTATAAAAGTTATGAAATATTTATGGCCTGTAAAACATGGGGGCGTGAATAGCCCACAAATATCTGTAAGTATGATATCCAACACATTCAAGTTTCTTATGACACATTTCTTGAACTTTTTAGTCTGTTTACCCTTAATACAGTCTATACAAGTGTCAAAACCTATGAATCCAAGACTTGGTAAGATCCCATTATTTACCAATCCCTTAATTCTCCTTGTAGAGATGTGTCCTAATCTCCTATGCCATAAAATGGAAGAATTTTCATTCAAAATTTTATGTTTTAATCCACAATGTTCTTTATCATGCAGGGATAACAAGAGATGTTGTAAAAGATGTATCTAGAGATAATTTAAATAAACCATCTTCTAAAATACCATTACCAACCACAACATCATTCAAACACAAACTAACAGATGAAGGCCCAAACATAACACGATAACCAAAAGAAACAAGTTTAGATACTAATAAAAGGTTTCTAGAAAAGCCAAGAACATAGAAATGTGTCATGCAAATATATGATGTGATCAGTCTTTAGAACAAGTATGAACATCCCAATAGCTTCTACACGTGACCGCATCTTATTTCCCATAACGATGCATCATTCACTTTCTATTGGGACCCTTTTGTTTAGCAATTCCTGCATGGTGTTACATATATGGACATTTGCACCAGAGTCAATCCACCATGTGTTATGAGGTTGCTACTATGTGTTCTTTTTTTTAATTGGAACATGGTAGCTGCTACTACCTGTTTCCACCTGTTCTTTCCTTTTATAAGAGGTCAAATGGACACTTTCTTGCCTATCTTGCTTTAGTCTCTATTCTTCATCAACACATATGGTCAAAAGTTGATTCATAGACCATTTATCCTTATGTGTGTTGTAAGAGATCTTAAATGGAGCATACTCCGAAAGTAGAGTATTAATGACAAAGTGGACAAGAAATGTCTTTGACATGTCAACTTTCAGTGATTTGAGTTGGGCAAAAATGTCACATAATTTCATAATGTACTCCCGTATGTCACTATGGCCACTATACTTCAAAGAAACAAACTTTGGTATCAAGGTGTTAGCAAGTGCCTTTTCAGAGCTCACAAATTATTCCTCAACTGAAGTCATGAATTCTTTAGCAGTTTTGGAGTCCGAAATGGAGCCTTTGATCTTCCTTAAGATATGACTTTGCATGAGTAGGAGATTGAGGCAGTTAGACCTCTCCCACTTCTCATGCATCTTTTTCTCCTCAGACGTACAGAATTCTGTAGGGATAGGTGGCCTATCCTCATGAAGCGTTGTATCAATCTCCATACACCCCAAAATAAAGATAATTCTATCTTTTCATTTCGAGAAATTTGAACCATTAAGCAAAGGGATATGGGATGCAAATTGAGACATAAGACTAGGAAGTAAAGCTGCAAAATAAAAATTGCATGCTTACAATTAATATGCATGCTAATAATCAAGCTTAAACTTTATCCAAATTACTAACTTATATTAGCAATTTTAGCGGTATATTACTTTATACAATATTATAATAATTTACTTAACGATAAAACTAACCGTATAAAACATCATAAAAAAGTAGAATTCAAAGACCTTTTGGTAACAAGAATTCAACTTGGCCACAACAATTCAAACCATTCTTTCACCCCACCAATGACTTATGATATAATAGCTTCCCTTTGGAGTAAAATTATTATTTAATATGGTGCAAGTGTTTAATGTCATGGATAAACATAAATTTTTTTATTGATAAATTTTCCTATGTTTTAAAATTATGGGATGCTTTGGCTCGTCACCATAAAATAAAAATAAGTTTATCAAAAATAAGTTTTCATACACAAGATGTTTTGACTCGTCATTATGTATAGAATACTCTGAATCATGACATATGAACAAATAATTTTATCCATAAGAGTCCAATAATTAAAAAACAATTTATTTTGGCCAAAATTGGATTCGAATAAACTTTATGATCGAAGTATCACAAACTAATTGTGAACAACATCATGAACTAGGATAAATCTATCCATAAATAACACAACTCACATTAATTCCGGTGCACATAATGCATAGAAATTAAAACTATTCTAAAAAATCATGCTTTGACTTTTCAAAGTCTATCAATCAAAGCTTTCAATTTTTTTGTGTAGCAGTAAGAATTTAACAAATATTATCTCTTCAATTGACAAAATGTCATATGCCATACTAAAAAATTTAACAATAAAATGATACTCATTCATCATGCTTTTGTCCACTAAGTAGTTCACACGCAATCAAAAACAAACAGAGGTCGATCAAAGCAATTAATATTGCATCCTAAACTGTGCCGACGACAACAATTTATGGATAGTCCATGTGTGAACGATAACAATCAGCAAAAAACGAAATATGTTTGCACAATTTCGATATCAGGAATCGTAAAAATTTGATAACTCATAAAATTTTCTTCTCTCAAATTGATCATACGAATAAAATAAATTCTAATAATTAAATCCCATGACCAAACTCTGATACCAATTGATAGATCTAATGGTCTTAAATGGATCAAATATAAAACTAACCTTACCTCACGAAATTCATAACAATGATTCTTGATAGACATATGCAGCGAAAATCTCCATGCGGAGAATACCAATAATACCGAATATTATCTCGAACTAGATTCCCAATGGATTACAGATAGGTTTTTCCAGAGAGTGAGAGATACTACTGTAAGCGTGAATAAGAGATGGAGTCTCTCAGGTAATTTATATCCCCTTCACTGGTAACCAACTGCCTCAAGTTAAAATAATCAATAATCGTTCCCTCCCATCAAGGTAACTGTCAAAAAACTGACTATTTGTTAAACATATTTTCTTGTACCTAGGACACCACTTTCACAAGGAAATTACACACTAACCTAACCAACATGTGTTAGGTATTTTAATTAGGATATCCTTGTCCCACAATTCAAGTTGTTAATTAAGGACCACATGTAGGTCCCATTAAATAGCTCCAATATATTTTTTTTTCAATTTTTTTTGGGCACATCATCTGTCATGGATTCAAATGAAACTCATTGTATACAATGAATCTCTCACTCATTAATAGTGGACCCTTCGCTCATTAATGGTGGATAATGTGAAATGATAAAAATATCATTTCATCCTCCTCAACATCATGAACCCCGACAACTTGATTCAGTGGTAGAACAAGGTGCAATGCATAAATTTACACATCCTGCTTTTGAATTCCACTAGTCGCATAAAGTTCAGTTTAACCGTTGTATGTAGTTTCCAAGCAATTTCATTTTAAAATTTTGTGTTGCACCAATGAGTTCAAAGGGTCTGTATTTGAAACAATTTGTCATTACCACATATTTTTCTTAATCTGAAACTAAATATGCATCGTTTGCATCTTTTGTTCTTGTACAACATGCTTACGTCAAAACCACAAGAATAATTTCCATGATAAACACTTGAGGATTTTTTATTTTTTTTTTGGTTTTGAGAAAATTATTGAATTGTTGAAATTATATACTTTGAATATTATAATTAAGTCCGACCTTGAGAGTCTATCAGCGTTTCTTCGACCCAAAATCAGTTGACAATAAGTTAAAGATCCACAAGACTTGTACAATTATTTAAGAGTCTCTGAAGTATAAACATCGGACAAACTATAACACCCGCTCACACATGAACAAAGTGCTCGATGACACAAAAAAAAGAAAAATGGAAAACTAACAAATAATCCCATCCTATAAAAAATAATGAACTTTGTTTTTTCATGTATACTCCAAGTAATTGGTACCCTAATCGTACCTTAGCATTCTTTTAACTCATCCCCTAATAATTTACATAGCAAAAAAGTAACATCATAATTTTTTTTAACACCAAAAAACTATTATGCACAATGAACAAGAAACTCTCCTATAAGAATCGACCTAACCTTTCATGGGGCGTTTTCCATGAGGATCGTATAATCTTGGGCTTGTAAAGGTTGCAGTGCTCGCAGTGGCACTGGTGGAGGAACCAAACGTACGAGAACTGGATTCACTGGAAGTTCCGGCAGTAGAGGATGATGCTGCGGTGGCCCTTCGCGATCTTCTATACCTTGTACCAGGGTATCCAGGTCGAGTTGGTTCTTCAAGGATGGCTGGCCTCTTTGATAGCATCACCACCACACGACGCATGGTGGGTCGTAACTGTGGATCGGATTGGGTGCAAAGCAACCCAATCTGTATACACAATGCTACCTGATCAGGAACTGCTGATGATGCCAATATAGAGTCCATAATATCCAAGCTCCTACCTTTCTTGTAAAGCTTATATGCCTGCAACATGTACCAAGGATGAGTTTTGGTGTTCCTTTACATGATAAAGGCATAATGTGGAATTAGTTCGGAATAGACCCCAACATAAATTGGTATGCTATTTGTGCTAGTTAGAATGTAGGACTGTAGGAGTACTTCCCACAGTTAGACACAAAATAGCATGAAATGATATAGACTCAATACTCCAAAATCACTCAATAATCTGATCAAAGCAGCTAGCAAATGACTACTTCATCTGATCAAGTACCTTATAGAGGTTACATAACAGCCAGAAACCCTTCGGCAAATGTGTGGCAACAATGTCACCAATTAGATGACGACTAATCAGAAACAGACAAGGGAGGAATAGTTTTTATGTTACAGATATGGCAATGGTACTGACAAGCAATTTTTTCGGAGAAGGCAATGAATGGTAAAGGGTTGACAAGTCAGACTCGACACCTTACCAAATTCCACCAGTCTTTCACTTGGAACATTGCCTGTCATTAATTTTCCAACCCACTACTCAATGCAGTTGAAAAATGACCAAGTGAAGCAACATTTCAACCACTTTGGATAGTATTAACCCAACTTTCAAGAAGGAAGCAGTCTAAAGTTACAGTTCAATCTTCCAAAACAATTGCCCTATTCACTGTACCAGTCCTCCATATCTCGTGCATTGCCCAAAACGCATAAATCATATACGCAGAAGAATTAACAAAACTTAAAAGACCCTCAATAGAATTTTCCCCAGTTCAATGGTGTGAAGTATTGGGTCTTATCAGTTCATGGTGAACTTGGTCATCGAAAGCCGGAGAACAAAACACACCTGATGTTAGTTAGTTATACAGCAAGAAAAGTGGTGTGTGGTGGTGGTGGTTTTTTCTGCCGCCGGGGGGGGGGTCATCCATATAAATAAATTTTGATTAATGCAAATGGGACAAGTTTTTACCCATTCAAGTAGATCCTGGGAATCAGGATCCAGGTTAAATGTTGAGTTCTTCTGTCCGCTGATCAGCTCCAGAACCAAAACCCCAAAGCTAAATACGTCTGCCTTCGTGGATAAATGGCCATGCATGACATATTCTGGCGCCATGTAGCCACTGTTTACAAGTTGAAGCATCCATTAGATACCTTGCAATCAAGTCCCGACCACTTGGATCGACATAATCACCAACTCAAATGGCTTAAACTAACAGTGAAAGAATCTGAATGCATTATGGAGCTGGGCAACGTACTTGGTACCAGCTACACGGGTGTGAACATATGTTTGATCTTCAGGAGAGAGCCGTGCCATGCCAAAATCTGCAATCTTGGGCACCCACTTATTGTCTAAAAGGATATTGCTGGCCTTGATGTCACGGTGGATGATGGGAACATGCGAGTCTTCATGAAGGTAAAGCAAGCCACGAGCAATGCCAACTATTATGTCATTCCTCTGCTTCCAATCTAGTGAATCTCGTCTGCCAGACTCTAAATCAAGGCCATCACAATCAACATTAGTATCACTATTAATGTCATCGTTCATTCCATTCAAACTTTCAACTCTAATTAACGTGCATTTAACCACACACAACATCGTCACCTATCGTGTTGAAATGGTGGTGGATACCCACCAAATTGTGTTGGAAATAGTCCAAACATTAATATTAAGCACTTAAGATTTTTTGGGGCACACAAATTCTAAAAGAGGATGGTCAAGGTTATGGGATGAAATCCCCAAAAAAGGGTCTAGCATATTAGATTGTGGTAAAAGGAATTCCAAATATATAATGGTCAATGGTGATGGACACTGATTCCTTAGCGAATAAATATGATCATGAAGCAGGATACTGACTGTGGCACTATATTTTGGTATAATTTAAGCAGGACACAAAAAAGTAAAAGCGATCACTACAAAAATATACAAAGATCTATTCCAGTCAGCCCTCAATTAATCTAAAGGAAAAGCCAGTAATGAAGGTAACATCTTGGATATCTCATACCTAGGGTTTGAACAAGCACTCTATCTAATAATGTGCTGAGCTCTGGATTCCTTTATTGCTTTTAAATAATAATGTGGTAACAGCTAGGAGGTTGATTAAATCTCAAGATAAACAGGTGAAAAAACATAGCAAACAACACCAAGACGTTAGCTACTAGGAATTTTTGTCACTCCACTCCGACAAACCATAAACTTGATTTTCAAATCATGCATTATACAGCAAATAAAGCAACTATCAGTTTGGTGGTGCTGATTATACAATTGGATACAATTTTGAAAAAAAAAAACCAGTTTTCCCTATGACAATTCTTAGAGACATGCTGAAACCATTTGGTTGTTTAAATACAAGAACATATATAACAAAGTTCACAGGTCCTCAAGAGTTGAGTGGATGATATATAACATAGGTCGAGATTGAACTTCAAGACCCAGACTGAATGTAGGAAATCTTAATACATCTGCCCAAAAATATCAACCAACATAGCAACTAAATGGATTGATATTTAGGAAGTAACAAGGAATTGGGTGCTACAACCCATTGGGGGTTCTTCAATTTCTAAAAGTAAGCTCACCACCTTTGAAACTATCCAAAAAGTATAACCAGGTTTTCATTAATTACTACTTTTCCTTGCTTCATGAACTCGAAAAGAATCAAGTACAAAAAAGAGATAAAAATAAATAACTTACTGAAGAGAAGCTTGTCAAGGCTCTCATTAGCCACATACTCGTACACAAGTAGCTTCTCTGCATCATGCACACAGTACCCCAACAACTTCACCACATTTCGGTGCTGCACCCGAGCCAACAGCTTCACCTCATTCAGGAACTCTTTCTTTCCCTGATTTGAGCTATGAGACAAGTTCTTCACTGCAATTTCCCTCCCATCATCCAACTTCCCCTACATATTCAAATACCCAACTACCATATTCATGACCAGGGATACAATTCACATATGTTTCTCAACGGCTTCTGAATGTTGATCAACCATTTTCGTTACAAGGCACGAGATCATCAATAATTTGCAAGATTTTGTCGACCCAATCCGTTATAAGACTCAATTTCAATGACTCAATGACAAGATTGGGTATATATATCATTAATTCATATTAGCTTCAACTATTTGATCGATCAACCCAATACATTATAGGACTCAATTTCAATGACCCAAAACAAAATTCAGGTAAATATGATTGATTTATATCATCTCCAACAATTTCATAGTTTTTGATAAAACCCAAATCAGAAAAAGACAACTTTGAGACTTACCTTGTGAACAGGGCCAAAACCGCCTTCACCAAGCTTGTTACTGGAATGAAAATCTTTGGTAGCTGAAACTAAGGTTTCAAAAGGAAATAGCTTCTGCTCTTGCGCAGCAATTCTTTCCAAGTCTTCTTCCTCTGTCCCCTCTGATTCATCAATAACAAACCCACAACAGACCAATGCACAGAATGATCAAAAAAAACAAAGCTTGTACAAGTTCTATGTATAGTTGAGATTGTAAGAAGAGATAAATACCTCCATTGAACTGGAACTTGAAGGGTTTGAGGAGTTTTACAAGGAAGTTCTTGGTTTTGGTCATAGTTGGCTGTTTACTAATCCATAGCAAGATTGATTGGAACAAATTGGTGAAACTGGTTTGGTTTTCGGGTATGGCTTTTTGATGAATAAAAAAAATAAAACATTATCATGACTTTCAGGTCAATGACGTCTACGAAATAGCTGAGGTATGTATAAGGAAATAGAGCGTGTAGAAGTCATGTGGAAAGAGATGGCGGCCTTCTCATTCACCTTCTCAAAATCCAGTGAGGCAAGTCAAAGGTGTTTTCATATGATTCCAACTGTTTGGCTCCAAACAAACAAAACAAAAAACGAGAATTATACTCAGACCCTCTAATATTTAAAATATGGTATACAAATTTCCCAAAACTTATACACAAGTAATATTTAGACCTCTACTATCAGTATATTCAATAATAAATTACACTCGAATCTTCTAAAATTTATAAACGTGTAATATTTAGATTTTTTAAATTCAATCAAAGATAAAATATTAAATATTTTAAATTTTACAACCAAAATTACGTTCTATGACATTTATTGAAATAAAAATTTAATTTTTTTCTTAAAAAATCATAATTATTATGTAATTATATTATCTATTTTGAAAACTACATTAACAAGAATATTATTGTTATTGATTAACGGTAGTTGGTGTAAACAAAATGTCAAATTTATCCTCATATATTTTGTTGTATATCTTAACAACCAAATTCACCCAAACAACAATATTGAACTCGACGGGGATGCAATTCACCAAGCTAGGGTAAGCAAAGCTCTTCGGTTCTATCGAATCATGAATGCGAAGACCTTTCCTTCAAATAGAGATGGAAGGAAAAAAGAGTTTTACTATTGACCAACCCTTTTTTTTTTTTTTTTGTTTGAAGTGAACCAAATAAAGAATGAAATACAAAAAATACTTGTTACACGAAGCCATGGGTATATGGCTTCGTGTGACAGCATTGAAGGGTTAAAATCACCGACCTTGACAATTTGTTGCATTTGGTTTGTCGTTTTTTTTTTTTTTATTATCAATTTTATCAATTCTCTTTTTATTCTCACCTTTTCTCCTCGTTGTCTTAAATCCGTTGAATTTTCCTGCATACCAGTTACATCGTATGATGTGTCATTGAAATTTTTAAAAATAAATAAATAAATTGTGCAGTGAAAATATAAGAAACTTGAAAGTTGTGTTATTATAATTTAGGGTTAATCTCATTTTATACCTCGAAAGATCGTTCGAATCTCAATTTACACCCTTAAAGATTAAAAATCTCAATTTACACCCTCAAATATAGAAAATTGTATCAAA